TGATACTGCACTGAGCACCTCACTATTGTTAATTTTTCGTGAAGGAAGCAGGACAGGCAGCCTGGAAGAAAAGAAAATGAGTCATCAGCATTCCTGTCTTTTGCACTTGTGGATACATTCTTCTCCTAGGATAATAGTTCCACAGTCTAAATTACCAGGCATATTTGGGGAGAAAAGGTGGATACCAAAATCTTTGTGTAACCCTGGACAGATGTACATAAACATATATATATGTATGTATGTATGTATAAACAAATATGGATGACCAAATCATGTCCATTCTGATACTTATACAGTATTTTCATGTGTCATACTAGACAGATGGAACAGAGATGGTGTCAGATCTAGATGATGCACGTCTATCACAGTGAAACCTCTAAGAGCACTTGTAAAATTAACAATAACAGCATTTTTGTAGTTTAGAAACAATTCTTCTCCTAAAGACTAAAATAGAATGAAAGCTGAAAGGAGATAGAACACTTAGAAGAGCTGTAAATCTCTATCAGAATGTAACATTTAATAGGGTTAAGGTAATATAGATGTGGCATTTGTAACTGGAGTGTTTTATATCTGAAACTAACTGACAAACTAGTATTATAGATTTATTCAGTGATACATAGTATTCTGAAAGATGACATGACTTTAAAAAATGTTTGCTGTAGTTATCATGAAAAATTATACTCCTTTTATTTAGAGTGGGACAGATTCATCTATGCAAATAATTTACTGTAATTTCTTTTTGGGAGCATTTTATAGCATTTCAGAAATCTTTCCATTTTCATGGTGCTAATAGTGAGCAGAGAAAATTACTGTGATTTATAACAGTCTATAAGGAAGGGGTGATAACAGTAAGAGCATGATAACACAGTAAATAATAATCATAGTATCACAGAATTGTTTGGGTTGGAAGGGACTCTAAAGATCATCTTTCCCCATGCCATGTGCAGGGACACCTTCCACTAGACCAGGTTGCTCAAAGCCCCATCCAGCCAAGACTTAAACACTTCCAGGGATGGGGCATCCACAGCTTCTGTGGGCAAGCTGTGCTTGTGCCTCACCACACTCACCATAAAGAATTTCTTCCTAACATTTAATCTAAACCTGCCTTCTTTCAGTTTAAAGCCATTCCCTCTTGTCACTCCATGGCCTTGTGAAAAGTCTCTCTGCAGCTCTCCTGTTGCCCTTTTTTAGGCACTGAACACCCCCAACTCTCTCAGCCCTGTCTCCATGCCAGAAGTGCTCCAGCCCTGAGATCGACTTTGTGATATAATAAATATTTTAGCATAAAGCATAATAACAAAGCCAAAAAAAAACCCACAACCCCCCCAAAAAAGCTGCACTGTTTTCTCAGCTTAAATTCCCCTGGGTGTGAATCCCTGCAGACCCCGGCAGTACCTGGCAGCTCCCACGGGGAGGCAGTTCAGGACTTCGGTAACATCCGCAGCCACTCCAGGGAGTGGCTCTCCAGAACAGCTTTTGCCTTCCCTCTGCGCATTTCATTCCCTTATTTTTGTGCGAGTTAACAAGGATAAATTTGATTTCTTATGTAGTGAATTTTTTTCCTACCTAATCTCTTAAACTCTAAAATTGATTCGTGTTAATATTAATAATTTAAGGGAAATAAGCCGTTTCACGGTCTAATCACACCAGCACCGAGAAGTGACAGTTGCCTGTGAATAAAGGATGGCATGATTGGCAGGATTACCTTCAGGCAAGGGGAGATCTGGAGAAGTGGAATAGTGTGAAACTTCATCCCTCTCCCATGCTGTTCGGATTATTTATCAAAGTATGTGAAGATCAAAAAAAAAAAAAATCAAGGGAAATGCATGCATGTAAATTATTAACAGCCTGCCTCAGAGGATGAGCAGATTTTGTTCATACTGCATTAACTATAACAAATTTTATTACACATTCAAAGAAAAAAAAACCTAGGAGTTACAATTCTAACATGCTAGTAGATAATGTGTACAATAATCTCATCAGAAACTATTATCTAGAAAATAACATTGTAAATATACTAAAAAAAAAATAAGTGTCACGAAAGCATCTGACATTCAGGGAATTACTTGTTTATTTTTTATTTATCATGTTGACTCCTGGAGGTTAAAATGGAATACTTGCTCTAGCCCAAACAGTATTCTGGTGTGAGCCATTTGTAATCGAGATCTCTCATACAGGCCACCAACAAGAATAAAGACCAGTTCAGGAAGTGGTAGCACAAAAGCAAATCTTTATTTGCTGTTGCTCAGCAACCATGTGTGAAAGGCCCATTTTTCATTTTTGCCTTAACTTGACTTGACAGGAAAATGATAATAAATATGAGATTATTATCACAGGGTATAGATTATTTTGAACAGATGAACAGATATGTCAAAGAGAGGCTTGTAATTTAGTACTATTGAAAGGGAGAACATTAGAGAAACTGAAAATAGAGTTGTAGGTTCATTACCAGCTTGCAGTTCATGCATAATTCTTGAAAAAACCTACAAAATGTTCTTCTGCCTCTCTGGTTTCTCTGTGTGGTCCTTTAAAATGAATCATTTGGTGTTATTCAGCCTGTTGTTATCTGTGTCAACTTCTAGTTTCAATACTATGAAAAAAATCATTTTGTGGTTGCCATGCAACAGAAATTAAAAGCTAAAATATGTTTTAGTTCGTTTGCTAAATGGATATGTGCCTGACTAAATAAACAGTAACCAGGTGACTAATGCAGCTCTAATTAAAAGACTAATCAAGGTATTAATGGAATATTCAGTCTACTCAAGTCATGATAAATAAATCCATCAGTTTGAATCTGAAATGGCAAAGATTTTTAATATATGCAGAAATTTTTTAATACAGGCAGTCATTACCAAAACGTATAAATGCCTTTTTTTTTGTTTACTTTTTTATTTGCTTTTACTAGTCTACAGGTGTGCTGATTGGCTTCAGATGGAGACAAGGAGTGGCACCGAGCTGCTGGTGCACAGTGATGCTGCCCAAGGAGATGAGGTTTGGGCTGCCAAGTTCTTCTCCCACACTGTCCCTGCCTCGGGGATGTGACCATCTCAGTCACAAACTGGAAGGAACAGAACCCATTCTCCTGCTGTGCCCACGGTACTTTCTTTGTGGCACGTTTGTTTTAAACCCCAGTTATTTCAGAAGTTTCACATGGACTCAGTTGATGATTCAGGAATTGAAACAGTTTTTTAGTCTTGTTTTCAGGAACTTTAGTCTTGTTATGTACATTTTTAAGCAATACAGAATAGCATTATTTATATAGGATAAGCCCATAATAAACTATTTTTCCTCCTATATTCTTCCAACTGTATAAAACCCAAGAAAAATAGTTTACCTGACAATTTTAAAAAGTAAATCAGGAAAAGTCTGTAAGTCAAATATAGATGGCATAAAATGAGACAAGTCCTAATTTTTAATATAAACCAATATTGTGAAATGTAGGACGATTAAAGAAGACTCTGTGTTAAAAATTAAAATATTGTCAGAAGACATAAATACTACTTTAAAAGGAGTGATTTTTTTGTATATGCTATTAAATAAAATCTGAAATACATCACATTTTTATAAATTAAAATCCTGAAAAGTCCAACCAGCTGTGAGAACTTGTATGGAAATTACAGTTGGTTTTCTGTTTGTTTGCACAGTGAGGCAGCACATGCTGTACTGCTGCCACAGACTGAAAGTAAATGACTCAGTCACGCACCTCAATCTTCTGAACAGCCAACAACACGGAGAAATATTATGCTACTGCAAATGCAAAATGGAAAGATACAAATTAAACCCCTAACAAGACACATGGACTGGTTTTGGTTTGCAGAAGAGCTCAAACAAACGGAATGGGGAATATCAAGAGAATTCGAGAGCCTGAGTCCAACTATTTCCAAACACTGCAAATTGAGAAGAAACAGGAAGAAGCATTTGCTAATACATTAAAATATATATATATATAATTCTGTGTTACCAAAGTGTAAATATAATCTGGACTACACAGCCTCTGATAAGTTCTGGTGAGTAGCCTGTTTACCTCTTGATCACTTTGGCTGGAGAGCGAAATGCCCGTGCTGTTCAGCAAGACTGTGGGGTAAAGGCTTTGCTGTCAGCACTTACAACAAAAACATTAGTGAAAAAAGCCACCAGTGTCATCAAGTGGGTGGTGGTTTCATAAGAGCAGTATGTGCACATTACCAGAGATCCCTCGGAGCCACATCGTTCCTTAAGCTTGAACGCGAATTCAACTGAGCGTGTCTTACCCCAGTTTGAAGGCACAGAGACCTTTGAGTCCCTACAGAAAGGGCACAGAGAGCTGTGAGGAGCTGCTGAGGGGGCTGGGGGTGTTCAGCCTGGAGAAAAGGAGTCTCAGGGGAGAACTTACCCCTCTCTGCACCTCCCTGGGGGGTGTAGCCTGGGGGAGTCGGCCTCTTCTCGCCGGCAACTGGCGACAGGATAACGGGACACAGTCTTGAGCTGTGCCAGGGGAGGTTTAGGTTGGACATTAGAAGGAATTTCTTCACAGAAAGGGCGATTAGACATTGGAACGGGCTGCCCAGTCACCGTCCCTGGAGGTGTTTAAGGAAAGACGGGACGTGGCACTTAGTGGATTGACCAAATTGACGTGGTGGTGCTGTTCGGCCACAGGTTGGACGGGATAATATCAGAGGTCGTTTCCCATCCCACTGACCGTGACTCCGTGATTTTTGAACACCGTCCCTTGCGGGGCGTTGAAGGCACAAGCCCCATCCCTCAGCGGGGCCGCGCGCGCGTGAGGGAAAGGGGGCGGGGTGGGAGGGGGAAATGTCGGCCGAACTCTCGCGAGACGGGGCGGGAGCTCAGCCCGCGCTCAGCGCCCCGCGCGGGAGGATTCGAAACGCGGCGGGTGAGGGGGGGCCGGGCCGGGACAGGAGGGGCCGGGCACGTCCCGGGCTGTCCACGCGTGTCCTCTCCCGGCGGTCCCGGGGCTGGAGTCTCCTCCCCGCGGCGCTGCCCCCTCTCCCGCGCGCTGGAAGCCCACCCCGCGGGGCCGTGAGGGTGCCGCCGCTCTGAGGGAGCCCGAGGTAAGAGCGGCCCGTCCGGCTTCCCCCTCGTCTCTGTGGCGGGAGCCCCCGCGGGACCCGGGACGGGGACAGGAGCGGCCCCCGTGCTGTCTTGTGGCCCAGCGGGCAGGGATGGGGGAAGCACGTCGGGAATCACCCGGGGTGGAGGGAATGCTTAGGATATGCGCAAGTAAAGCTCTTGGCATCAAAAAGTGGCATAGCCCGTTTCCCAAAGTTTTCACTTGACAGGAGGAGAATATTTTACTACCCCTCAGTACTTTTCATGCAAGTAAATGCTGTTGTCGGGACCGATGGCCAGCTTAAATGTGCTGGATAATAAACTGTGCTTTTTTTAAAAAAAAAAATCCATCAAAAATTACCTAGCAAAAGCTCTGCTTTAAGACTTATTTAGTAAAAAAGCAATTAAACAGAAAAGTTTGCAAACCCTGCAGCCTGGTGAATGTTGTGAATCTAGATGCTGATTCAGTATTTTGGAGGGGAAAATTTGTATAACTATGTAATATATATGTATTTAACTACTATAATATATAATATATATATAATTGCTATATATATAACTAATATAAAGCTATAACTGGGACCAAAATGATCTTAGTTTGAGATACAGTACATTGTCTAATGTTTTGTTTATAGAGCAAGGAAAAACAATTCATGATGAAACGTGAAGCTTTTTTGCAAGTTGTGTCTAAAGAGTCAATTGAAGACTTCCTGAGTTACACTCAGAATCCTGTGAGTAACCCAGTGTGCACTTGTCTGTGGAGTGACACACCTATGAAATCGTAAGGCTGTTATTGATGCAGAAATTGTGTGACATAAGGACAGAAAGTCCTTATGTCTGGTACTTGCAGATGTGCAGGATGTGCACTTAAGGGAACATAGGCTGAAAAAGTTGTAGAAGCTGAAATTTTGCTGTTTATAAACCAAGTAATTTTTCAGACATTTGGTTGTTCCGTGTACGGTTTAGTTTTTTTTTTTTAATAAATTATTAGTACTGTGGTAATACTAAAAAGAAACTCAACTGATTGCAGTGTTGTGTTTTTAAATTTCGGCCTATGAAAGAGTTTGTTGTTCTGTCATGAATAGGAGTTAATATACAAACATAGCAGAGGTATCTTTCATTAGTATGTGTTCGTTCATGTAATAGTTTTGGCTGTCCATTTGTTCTTTGGTCTAGGCTTAATTGTACCTTAATTGTTCATTTTATCACTGAATGCTTCCAAGAAGGGGCAGATTGCTCTCTCTAAATGCAGCGTGGAGAGAAGTGGGAGGAACAACAAAAGAAATCCCCTGAAGTCTACTATTAAAAGTTCATTGTCACACTGTGTGTATGATATTGCATAATAATGACAGATAACTGCATTGTGGTGTTTTTCACTAAGCTTCAGTCTGTTTGATATTAAGATAGATCTGATTTCTTCTGAATATCTTTTGCTCACCTTCATAAATGGTATTGCCAAGTTGGTTTCCTAACTTTCTAGTCAGTATTTTCCTACTATTATCTGTATCAGGGTACAGTAAGTGGATCAGTTGACCTCTGTGTCTAAAGAGGCCTGAGCTAATTTACTAATGCAGCAAATGTATTAAACCCACAACCACGTTCTGTATAATAAGATTGGAAAAGTTCATCTCCCAAACATCATTGAATCTCTCCAAGAAATTTGTTATTTCTTCCAACTGCATGCCTGTATGTAATTATAGATGACAATTTTATTACCAGGTTAAAATCTCCTTAAAATCTCCAAAAAATCCTGTGGTTAAAATCTCCTTCCCATTTTTCCCCAACTCTGAACACTTTAACAAGAAACTCTTCTGTTCAGGATAACAAACCGTGCTTGCAGTGTTTCCTTTTCAATCAATTTGGTTGTGTTGTTTCTGCCATCTGCATTCAGTAATTCATCTTAACATATCTTGGCCTGTTTGGATTGAAAATTGTTTTCTTTTCATCCTTTTATTTTTCATCACCAATTCACAGGAGTTCTCTTGCAACAGTTTTCAGCTGTTGCCAATATCTCTGGAAACTTTGTCAACAGCCATAATGAGAATATTGATTAAAACTCTTTTCATGCCTTTGTAGCATAAGGGAACATGAATATCCAGATTATTTTTTGGTGTCCAAGAGACCTGAGTTGTTTTATTAATTTCCTTTTGAAACCCTGAGATGGAGGGAGTGTGTATCTTAGGATGAGGATGCTCCTTTTAGGATCTCCCTTGAGAAATTCTTGACTGCTTTTCTGGAGGAGGCTGTGGTTGTGTATTCTACCCTTTGGATGTGGATATATAAATGTAGAAAGAAGCAGAAAGTGTGGTTAGAGCCTCACTGCTTTCCTTAGTTTTTGTATATTTGCTCTGCTTTTTTTTACTTTCTTGGTGCTTTAGCCTCAGAATTCGTCTTTTAAACTTCTTTTTTAAAGTTCTAGTCTTAGCATCCAACTTCTTTCAATGTCTGATTTCTAAGTCCACACACACTCACACCACCCCCCTTAAATTTTCTTTGCCTTTTTCTCAATGTTTCATTTAATTTACATCTTCTGAAATTCCTGGGGTTTGCTAATTTTCCTTCAAGGTTTGTCATGGGCTTTTCACTTCTGTTTCTTACTAATCTTTTAAAAATATTGGTGCTGCTCATTGAGGTCTTTATCAGGTGCTGTTTTTTCCCCCTAAATCCTGTTCCAATTCAAGAAAATACATTATTAGACAGAAAAATAGGAGTCACAGATACGACTATCACTCAATGTCATTCTTTTGCCTTATAGATTTTGGAATAATTCTATCTCATATCATCCCAAAGAAAGATTAGAAAGCTCTAGTGTTATTATGAATTCATTCTTTTTATTCAAAACAGTACAATCTCAATATCCTGCCTTATGGGTTTGTTTGAAGGAAAGGACTGCAGAACTCCCTGTGAGGCCTTTGGTTTATTGTATTTGTTTCCAGCTGTACAATAAGATAGAAATTCTCTTATAAATATGTAACAGGATCTTTCTTCTCATGCCCTTCTGGGAACTTTCTAATACTTAGTGCTGCTTCTTTCATTTTTTTCTAATTTTCTTTTTACCTTTGACTTTTTCGTTTTGACTCCTGTTTCTTAGGAAAAAATATTTTTATTTCAAGATCATCGACATTCTCCCTCTTTCCTCTGAAGTGGTTTTTAACCAGTAAACCTTCTATTTCAGTACTGCAAATTACATCTCGAAAATCATCTGTAATTCCTCTTGGCTGTGCCCAGTTTTCCTTCTCATCTTTTCTCTGCATATTCCTTTTCCCATCAGCTTTCCTACCCTTTGATGCCAACAGAGCTGAAGAGGAGAGTGGGGGGGTGATGTGCTCAGGAGTGGGATGCAATGAGGGTTAAACCAGTGCAGTGACATAGAATCAGCCAGGTTGGAAAGGACATCTGAGATCATCCAATCCAACCCTTGATCCATGACCACCACAGTTACCAGACCATGGCACTCAGTGTCACATCCAGTCTCTTCTGAAATACCTCCAGGGATGGAGTATCCACCACCTCCCTGGGCAGCCCATTCCAATGCCTGATTACCCTTTCTGTAAAGAATTTCTTCATAATATCCAACCTAAACCTCCCCTGGCAGAGCTTAAGACGGTGCCCTCTTGTCATACTGAGAGCTGCCTGGGAGAAGAGACCAACCCTACCTGGCTACAACCTCCTTTCAGGGAGTTGTACAGAGTGATGAGGTCACCCCTGAACCTCCTCTTCTCCAGGCTAAACAACTCCAGCTCCCTCAGCCTCTCCTCACAGGATTTGTGTTCAAGTCCCTTCCCCAGCCCGGTCGCTCTTCTCTGGACCTGCTCCAGCCCCTCAATGTCCTTCTTGATGTGCAGATCTTTCTCCTGAGTCCGTAGTGCTGTGTCCTGTGGATGTACTGACCGTTCCATTTCTAGTCCTTGCCTAAGGAGTTTCTTTCAACAGGCACCATCAATCTATATTTAACATAGCAAAGATATGATCAGGGACTTTAATTCTGTGCAGTTGTGAGCTTCTTAGCTAAGGATATGGAAAATGTCTCCATTGCTGTCAAGGGCTTTTGTCTCAAGAGCAGCAGTCTTGCTTTGTGATAAAGAGTCAAGTAGTAGGAATTTCTTATGCTATTTTTTTAAAAAATATAACTTCTATAACTGCAAGTTAATCCTTAATGTAAAAAAAAAAAAAACCTGTTAATTTTAGAAAATATGATGATAAAATATAAACCACTTCACTGATGTGGAATTGTGTGGTATCCTCTGACCATTCACAGAAAAACACAGTTGATCATTTTGACTTGAACGAACTCCTTCAAGAATTGCCACGAAAGCAAAAGGAAGTGCTGTGGGAGAGACTGACACAGCTGTTGACAGAGAGCTTGAGGGAGAACCCTGTGGAAACGTGCCCGAGGACTGGAGATGAGGAAAGTGATGATCACATGGTAGTCGAGATAACTCCACAAATTGTGAGAATCTTGTAAAATGAAAATAGGATGAGTATTTCATATTTTTGCGGAAATAAAATGAAGTATTTCCATAGTGTCTGGAAACATGCAAGGCTTATCAAATAAGATCAGTTCCAAACATCACCTCCCAGCCCATTTTTAACTGACTTAGTTTATGCTTGGGTTAAGCTGAACTTATGATTGGTCTATACTATAAAAGACTAGATCTGCTGATAATTTTAATTATGAAAGATGTGACTCAGTTTTCTCAGTAGAGTTGAATGGGCTTTTTTGTTTGTCTTACTTCAGTAAGTGAATGTTGATACTGCAAATGTTCATAAGTATCTGGCATATACTATAAGAAATTCACTGCCTTATTTGTTAGGCCATTTTTTCAAATGAAGATCATGAAATCTAGATTAAATGTCCCTTCCACAAATATAGCCTATATAGAATTTCTCTGACTCAGACCCTCATGTACTTCCTTCTGCTATAGTCTATGTAGTCTTGAGTGCAAAAGGGTTAGTTAATTTTGAAGGAGGAAAAGAAATGTACTGGGGAAACCATTAGGTAGACCTGGAGGCTTGTAGAAAATCAGTCATACGTTCAGAGGCCTACAGAATCACAGACCTGGATCCAAAGGGAGCACATCTACACGTTCCTGAGTTGTACAAGGCCCTGCTAGTTAAGGTTTCTTTAGCTCTGAAATGGATGTGTTTGAGTGGGTTTGTTGCAGATGAGGTTTTTAGTGGAGGAATGGATACACATCTACAGTCACAGTTATCTACTAACTGCAGCTGAAAGCCCTCTTCAAACTTTTTGAAGCAGATGTACTTTGAAAACCTATTCCTTTACCTGTTATTTGATAGGTTTTGGGTGCCAGTATTCTCCTTCTTCAGAGTGGAAGCGTAATAACGATTGAGCTTTGCTCTCTGTTGCTGGGGTTTATTTTTTCCTCAACATTGCTTTCTTTCAGAAACAAACTGTAGCAGTGATCCAAGGGGTGACAGCTGTCGTGACTGCTTCCATACCTGAAGTGGATGAAAATGTAAACTACAAAGCTCTTCTAGAATGTGTTTTTATATTAAATGGTGGGTATTTATCTGTACAGAAGGCAGCATTTTACAAATGTGTTTAGTGGATTGTTTGTGTGATCTGACTGAAATCCAACTGTCCTGTGAGACAAAATTCACAGGAGAAAAGTTGGTATTGATGTGAGCTCTTACTGAGACAAAGTTAAGGCAGCATTTACTTAAGAATCAGCTGCACTAATTAAAAGTTGGAACTTTAAATAGTTTTCTTTCTCCCAGCTGTTCACTCGATTAGACGTAACTTTGATTATCCCATGGCTTATATTATTTTAAAGGCAAAACTTATGATTCCATTATTACTGATCGAAAAACCTGGCCAGACCCTGAGTGCTCACAAAGCTGCCTTAATACCTGCAGTGAGAATAAGTCATTAAGGTGTGTCAATAAGTCATTAAAGTGTGTCAGCCAAGAGCTGGTTGACACTCACTGTGAAGTACAGTTAGTGTACTAACAGGCTACTGTTTTACACGAATAGCTTGGTTCATTGCAGTAAATAATTATTTTATTGCTGTTGTAGATATTCTTCCTGCATTGCCTGCATCTGAAAAAACCCTACAGGATGCTATCCAACACGTATGTGATCTGTGGTGGCAGAAGGGACTGGAAGGCAAGGAGGTTCTGGGGAAGACTCTGTTCACCATTCTGCTTAGAAAAAGCCTGCATAAAGCTGCTGTGGTATGCTGAAGCTATATTGACTTTCAGATTATTTTTTAATAACTCAAGAAAGATAATCCCTCCCATGAAATATTGCTTTCTCTAGAACAAACTTTAAAGATTTTTGGCATCAGTTTCACAAGTGAACTGGGGTTCTTTTTTTGCATTGTTTTATATCTTTTCACTCTTTTGTCCAGTACAATGACCAAGGTTTCAATAGCAATTAACTCTCTTAGATAATCCAGGGTTTAAGTACTGTATTTGGTTACTCACAGAGACAAGTTTTGTGGGAAGCTTCATTTTATGTCACTCTTTATCTTTCTACAAATAATTTTCCTTCTCTATTATTGGACTGAAATTGATTTTTTTTCTTAAATGCATGAGTTACTTGGTCTATTGTGATATCCATCTTTTGCATTAACCCAATAGATCTATCCTTTACTTATTTATTTCTTCTCTTTTTCCCTAATAACTATGTTTTCTTCTGGTTCTCCCTGTTAACTACATTTATTCTATGAATTTTCAGAAGTGGAATAATCTGGTTTTAGTGTATTTTGTGTGAAATGGCAGATTTCTTTCTGTACTTCAGCATGTCTTTGTTTAGTGGAAGTCAGTATTTCTGCAGTTACACATATTTTCTTCCCAGTGATGTGATGAAATTAATGCTCATAATTTTTACAATCTAAAAATCTTCTGCCTAACAATGCATTTCAAATTCATTATTTAAAATCCTTTAAATGTGCCTGTGCATTAAAGCAATACCTTCTTCACTATAATGGGAGTTGCTTCTTTCCTGTCAGGGTGCAGATATAGTTCGTCTGTGGAATCTGCATCAGGCATTACTTTGTTTTGATTATGATTCAGAGGAGAGTAATGAAATCAAGGACTTGTTGCTTCAGTGTTTTATGAGTGTAAAACACATCAAGAAAGAAGAGGTAAGCAAATTTTTATCCTTCTGTGATTTTTATGCCAGTGAGACTTGGTTGCTTGTAATAGTTTTGCATTAAGTCTTTTTTTACAGTACAGTAGATAGCAACATGAGGCAAATCAGCTCTGACTCCAGGCTATAAATGCTTAATATTCTGTTTCATTTGGAAAAACCTTTATTTCTATTCCACATTAAAGTGTGAAAATATATGTCTAAATCTTTAGTCTGGTTCTTGTATCTTGAGGTAATGAGAACCAAGTGCTTTGCTTTCAGTGCATGTCCCTCAATACTTAAAACAATTCCCTGGTATAATTCTCTTCTTTTACAGCAGGTTTTTCTTTTATTGGAGACAGATAACAGTAGCAAAATAATTTTCCTTCTAAATGATTCCATTTAGAACATTGCATTGCCATAGTCTGTGTTGGAAGTAGCATAAAAAGGACCGAACTTCACAGCAAAATGACAATTATTTTATTTGACTACATACACTTCTCTCAGTGAACAATTGCTGTTTTGGAGTTTTTAGATCGTGCTTGTGCACCAGGATGGTGGTATCCAAGCCTTTTTTTCTGGTTAGGTGACCAGACCACCTGGCATTGTCTCTGAAGGTCCAACTCCTCCTTGGTTATTTAAAATATATGTCTTCTGTTTCATGGAGTATACAAACCTTTGTCATAAGATAAACTCTGAGGATGCTGCATGATTGTGGCAGTGTGGGGATATGGCATTTTAAAATTGGGGTTAGCAAGTGAATTAGGAGAGATGTTTGTCAGTGCAGGTTTTGGATGCCTGCCACAAAGTTGGTGGCTCTGAGCATTCCTGTCTTCCTTTCCACAGTGTGAATGCTCAAGCAGCTATGACATGGGTTGATTGAAGGAGGTAGCTGGTTTTTTCATAGTAAGATTATTTTTCAAACAGATTAACTGCCTGGACTGGTTGATCATATGCAAAGCTGAAGGGAAGGGTCAGGAATTTTCTAAACATCCTGGTTCTAAATCAGATCGAACAGATACAGAATTGCAATTACACCTTGTTGCAAGATCAAGGAGTTCAGTTGTTTCTGCCTTCCCAGGCTGTGCTGTTCAACTCTGAGGAATATTTCTCAGAGGCTCCTCAGGCTGCATTAGTGGAGTGATCCTCTGTGATGTACATAAATATATATGTATGCATATATATATACACTAGATCACCAAAGTAGGAAATAGTAAGTTGTTTTTGTTTTTTTCTCTCTCTTAAATAGAAGCAACTCTTACTGACAACAGGAAGGATTCCATCAGACCTTGTAGACAAGGATCTTGATGTATTTAGCCTTTAGGTCTTGATTGTTATGATCTTCTGAATTACTTCTTGATCCAAAGGCATTTAAGCTGTCAATTCCCCTAAAGGGCAGTTTCCAACTATGTACTTCCTTCCCTCCCCCCTACTCTGGGACATTCCAACTCCAAGTGTGACTGGCATTCCATTTTCTCAGTTTTGTCATAGGTGTGAATACAACTGTTGGTCCAGCTCTCAGTGGAAGTGCCTCTGAACTCCTGCTAATTGTTCAGCGACCCTTTTGCACTTCTGCCAATCTGCTCTTTACTGTTGCACTTCCTTATTAATTTTCCTGATTTATTTTTGGCTAGAAAGCTGACAGGTATAAAGGGCATTTACAGCTGGCTGACTCACTCTGATGTGTGATGCAGCATTTTAAAATCTCAGAAGCTGGGTGCCTTCACTTCCTCTGTAGATGATCCAGGAGTGGGGCTGCCTGTGCAGATACTTTGTAAGGCTCCAATTCCACGGGCAGATCTTGCTGATTCCAGAAAAGCAATGGCTTTTTTCCTTCATCCACAGCCTTTCACTGCCTTGTAAAAATTCTCTTGCATGTCAGGCTTGTCGTCATTGTTTCTGACTTGCTAAAGTGAAAGAAAACTAATTTGAGAAAGAAGTGTTTCTGTTCTCATGAATGAAAGCAACTCCAGGAGGTTTGCAATATTACCTTTCATGCAGTAACAAAGGAACTGTCCTTGCTAATCAGAGCATTTATTGTCCTCAGTGGCCCAGCTGTTCTCTGTGGTTTTGTCAAAAAATGTTTCCATATCCAGTGCTGGTAGAGTTGTGGTGGTGTTTTATCTGTTCTTTCACTGTCACTGGCACGACTCTGCACTTGGCAGAGCTCTGATGTTCTGGCCTTAACGAGGGTCCTGAGTTGCACAGTCCTTTATGATTATGGAATACCAATGGAAGTCATGCCAAAACAGACCGGACACTGAGGAAGTGCAGGCAGATGTGTAATCCATGTGTCCATTTGGTTTGTGTTTTCTCTACAATGTGAGAGTAATGCTTGAATTCTGTCTAAAAATTAAAAATCTTTAATTTTTTTCCATCTCACCTACACTTTTAAAATTGAAGATGTAATTTCTTTTGATCTTTAAGCTCTGTATTTACTGATTTTTGAGGTATCTCTTAAAGTGGGAATTCTCCTTAGATCTGACTTCTCTTTGTTTTTTACTCTTTTTTTCTCTTTTCCTCTCCCTGCAGGGAAGAAGATTCCTGAGTTTTTTGTTCAGCTGGAATATAAACTTCATTAGGATGATCCATGGAACTGTTAAAAACCAATTACAGTTCTTTCCAAGGTATGCATCACACCTAGAGTACTTAATGATGGTTAAGAGCTCGGCTGAAATCTTGTTTGTTTCACTCTATAAAAATATCCGGTGTATTGATAAATATATCAGAGCCCAGAAACCTTCAGATCTGCTGACTGTGACTGCCATGTGCTTTTAGCAGCTTCATTTAATAGTTCTTTGACATGCCTCAGGGTACAGTTATAGGTACAGTAAAACGCTTCTTTGGTCATAGCTAAAGCAAATGACTGATAGAAATTGGACTGGGTTACTCGCAGTGCTTATAGGTCCATCCTACAATCCCAGACCTGTTTCTTCTTTTATAAGTGGTTGCTGTTTTTTCCTATGAGCAACCTCTGATTTAATTTGGTAGGATTCTGGATACAGATGTGCTCACATGAAGTGATTTTCAGGACCAGTCATAGTCTGAGAACTTGGCTGATGGATGGAAAAAATGGATTTTTTTCTTATTCCCTGAAATGTTACAGAATTAACTATTCATATTTAAATCAGAGGCTTTCTAATGCTTTCAGTTAGAATAATATATACCTGTACGTTTGTATAAAGAATTTAAGGCTTTCATTGTGGGATAAATGATAAAATATCTATGCCAGTGTTTTGAGTCTCCCCCCATAAGAGATATTTCCTGTGTTATGTAATAGTGCTTGGGTTCATTAATTAACAGTTACTTTGTAATGATCAGTATAGACTTGAAAAGATTATTTCATCTCAATAATGTTGATGCACAGAATTAAGGGTACTATTGGTACTTATAAAAAACTCTCTGAATTGTAGATAGCTATGGTTGGGATGCTTGCTTAAAAGTGTTTCCCATGTGTCAATACAGATCCTTGATGGAATACATCTCAGAAATTTACTTCAGGGCCTGGAAGAAGATGTCAGGAGAATTCACAGAGGTAACACTGTGCTTGAAATTTCTTTTGTGTAATTTTTGAATTTCAAGGTGGGGAAGGTAAATGACTTTTCCACCTCATGAAGGTTCCTAAACAAACTTTAAGGAATTATTTCCCTAAGGAAAAGGCACCTTCAGCATTGCCCATTGTGATCAGCTTGGCTGCATTTAAACACCTGTAATTCTGCAGCTGAAGTGTTGTTTGCACAACTATGCACACACCCCATGTTTTTCATAGACACACTAGTTATCTGGGTTATGGAAGTTTTATTCAGTATGTGCAAGTCTGCATAGCTGATTGCTCAAGTATTTATCTAGTTTTTGGGGATTTCCATGGAGATGATCAAAAGATTAATCACAGCATCACAATTCTAGAGCAAAATTTCAGGCACCAAAATCTTCATTCTTACCACGTGGGAGGGCTTTCAGGTTCTGAGAACTGGATTAATTGTATATTCTGAAATTTTGAAAATCAGTTTAAGAAGACAGGCCTCCAGCTTGGAAAAGTTTGGGCCAAGCAGGAGACAAGTAAGAAATAACATCAAAGACTGTTTTCAGTTGCTTGTTTTAGAGAATAATATAGTTGCTGCACAGCTACAGTACTTCCTGTGTAACAGTAGCACGTCTGGGTTCTTACTGTAGGTACTGGAACATGACTGCATCCAGGATTTTGTGTATCATGGAATTCATCTTCCCAGAAGTTCCTCTTTTCACTCTAAAGTTAGAGAGGTGAGTTCCTGTAAGCAGAGCAGTGCTCACATGGTGTCAGGGCTTCCTCTTCCCCACTGCTTCCCTAGGGAGTAGGCTGTGGATGAGGAAGTTGGGAAGGTCACAGCTGAGACAGCTGATCCAAATTGACCAAAAGAATATTACACACCATATAACCGTCATGCTCAGCAATAAAAACAGGGAAAGTGGATTTTGGGGAGGTAGTCCTTGCTTGGAGAGAGGCTGAGTATTGGTCTGCTTGTGGGAGATGGTGAGTGATTGCATTTGCATCACTTGTTTGGGGATTTTTTTGATCCTCTTTCCTTCATTTATTAAACTGTCCTTGTCTTGACCCATGACCTTCTTGCTTTTCTCTTCCAGTTCTCTTCCCACCCCACAGGGCTGGAGTGAGTGAAGGGCTGTGGGTGCTTAGCTGGTGGCTGTGGCCAACACACCATGAATACATAACAAATAGCATGTTCTGAGAAACAGTATTAGAACAAATCTGAGGTGGAACCTCCTTAGAGTTTTGCACTAGATTTGTCTTTGGTGCTCTAAAGTAGAAATATAAGGGGACTTTCCAGAGTGCCAGAAATAATTTTTGGTGTCTGCTGTCTAAGCGTTCTTCACCTGGAGAGCTGACCTTTCCAGAGATCACAGGGACAAAAAGTCACAGCCTTCTTGAGGCAAATTTAGTAGATGGGTCTGAAATGAAACTTGGTTTTTTCCTTTTTATTATATAAAGGGGGTTTTATACATGCTTACAGGGACAGGCTTTGATTCAGTTAGAGATTCTAGTTGTCTGTCTGTGACTTTTATTCATGAGCAGAAACATTTGAAGCAGAATGGGAAGTACCCAAAGCTTTTTGAGAGAAGGCATTTGGATTTGATCAATGCCCCTTCACTCCCTGTGCTTTCCTCAAAGTACACAAACATTAGAGTGTATGGTATGTGCAATATATATCTTGACAAACCAGCATACAGCGCTGTATTGGCTCTTTGGTTTGGTTTGGTTTTTTGGGGGGTTTGTTCTGTTTTGTTTTCTCACATCTGTAGGATTTCCTTGTCCTGTGATTCCTGATGGATGGAATACACTTTTGACGGGGCATTTCATGTTTTTTTCAGTCTCAGAAGTTTCTGATCTTGAAAGAGGACAGTGAATAAATCTGTCTTTGGGTTGCAAGTAGAGTGAGTGTCAGAATAAATGTGAATGATGTGTTCTTTTTCATAGGCAGGAATTTGGTTTAAAATGGTTCTTGAGAATCCAGAAGTTCCTGTAGTAGTTGGGAGAGTAACCAACCACAGCCACTCACTTGAGCAAAGTCTGGGCTGCCTGTTTATTGAAAGAGAGGTGAAGGAGTGGGGAGAACAGCATATACAACTCTCCCTTCTGAATTCAAAGTTCTGGCTGTAACACAAATGTTCATATTGATTGCAAATATTTGCTACTCAAGTGTTCTGAGGAAATCTATTACAAAACAGGATTGATTTACCATTAATCCTGAGTTAGATCCCTTATTATCATGTAGAAACAAGAGCTACACAGTCTCTTATAAATTGTACCATGTCTTTACTCCAGTGTATTCAAAACCCAGAGAAAAGCTGTTCTTTCCGTGGAGTGTCATTTCTGTGGATTTTATTCCCAGGCTTCCCCATCCAGCTGTAGCTGTGAATGTTTGAAGCAATGACCACTAGAGGGTTAACTTTTTTCCAAACTGACCAGTGTTTTGGGTGGAAGAATTACTTCATATCAACTTACTTGATGTTCTTTCTCATATTCTGCTCTGTCTTCCAATTTCCTTTTCTTTTCTGCATCATTTAGATACAAAAAGAAGAGGATCTTTAGAGAACTAGGCAGGGTTTTGAGTCCCAAGGAGTGCTGATACTTGGTTTTCATCAATGCAATGTTTGTTTGTGTTTCTTTAGATGCTGAGTTATTTTCATAAACAAAGTCGAGTTCGTCAAGGAGTAGAAGAAATGCTCTACAGGTTGTATCAGCCTATCCTTTGGAGAGCATTGAAGGTAATTATGCTTTTCAGAAAATGGGACTGTTTTTCTCCAACTGCTAAATTTTGGGTCCCTCCCCGATCTTCTGGTTTTATTAGTTGCTCTTAAAATGAAATGGCTACAAAAACCAAAATCAGTGTTTAACATCTCAGATGTAGCTGAGTAACTTTGCATGTTGTAATTAGGCAGAGTATGTACAACAATGTTCTGATTTGTTCATATGTTTTACTTCTGTAATTCAGTTTTGTTCACAGATACCTGGAGTGCTTTCCAGGATTGCATCTCCTCAGATGGGAAATTTTGTGTGATGTTGTATTCTGTTTTCCAAGTCCTTTAGGGAATTATTTGGGCTCTATTAATCAAAGCCAACAATGTTCAGAGGAGGATTCCTTCTCACCTTCTGATTACATACCAGCCTTAGAATACAACTCCATGAATATTAGAGTATTAGAAAAACTTTTATTCCACTTTGATTGTACGTACAGACATTCATGCCATGGATATGCTTTTAATCACGTGTTTGGAATGAAATGTATTCAACTTTTACAGTGTGTGTGTGTCTTTATTGCATGCACAGACTAAAAGGGACCTGCTGCAGTTTGCCCTCTCACTTACACTCTGTGATTAGGATGAGCCAAGCTTCCTTCTTTGGGAACAGCTTTTATTTGTCTGAGGTTATGGAATCCCTGATTGTGAGAGCACACACATCCCATTTGTTACAGCCAAGTCAAGTGCTGGTAAACATTCGCAGTTTCATTTGCTGATTGGTCATACAGCATCTTCTGTAGTGGTGGGAGAAGCGTTTGAAATTCTTAAAGTTGCAAGTATTTAATATCAACAGTTGTTTAAAATGGATTTAATGAGTTCCAGGAAGGAGTTGAGAGCTGTTTGGTTTCTAAAGAACCTTGTGATAGAGGTGAGAAGATGAGCAGGCTCATTGCTAGCCCCGTGTGTTGTTTGGTCTTGCATTCACCGTTGGATTCCATCCTTTTGGAATTTACATAAACAAGGAACCTTGTGGATGAAACATGTATGTTCCTAGTGCAAGAGAATATTAGTTACAAAGCATGGCTTCCTTTAGTTTCTACTCTTTTGATCCTTAAAAAGAACAGGGGGTTTAACTGATCTTTGATGGGATGGCAAAATTCTTGACTAGTGTCTCAGAAACAATTTCGGAGTGGTTTGCAAAACAGTGTTCCATTCTTAGGGGAGTTGCTATCTGTAAATGGAGGTTAGTGGTCACTTTCCAGAGCCCAGAACTCAAGTGTAAGATTTCAGTATTTTGGAGGAACATTCTTACTAAATCTGCACAGATTTATTTAGACAAATGTAACAGAAAGGTATGTCTTGAGGGGAAAAACGTTTAATTATTGATTTGCAGCAAGACAGGGGGAGACTTCCACTGATTCCAGAAGGGGTTGAAATTTTAAACGGCTACTATTCTTAATTTTCACATCACTAGTGGTTCCATTGCTGGAACTTCAGTTCTGCTGAAGTGTTTGGTGTTTTGAAGTAACTGTTGCTGTGACTCAGAATCACCAGCAGTTTGAGATGCAGAGCTGAGAAGGGAAGCTTATAACTGTCCTTATTGGATCCTCGTGGGTTCTACTGCAAAGCTTGAAATGCCAGTTTAATTTTAGATAACCAGTTTGATGCTCCTATTTTAGCCAAGTCCCTCATTTCATAAAGTGAAGAACAAATCTTGTTCTAGAACACTGGTTACGAAACAAGGGACATGTTTGGAATCTTTGTCCTGAGAATGTACATTTGTAATGCAGAGTTCTCTGTGTCTTCCTAAATGTCTTGTTTTACAAATGCTTAGTTCACACAAGCTTCTGTTGGGGCTCCTACCTACATTTATTTTTATAAACCTTTATGCAACTTGAAGTTTTTATAATATAAGCCCATATGTAACTTGTTCATCTTTTTCATGTCTTCACTATGAAAAGTAGGTGTCATGCAAACATAAGAGATGGTTTTGCAGTAATTGGTTATTAGTATAAGAAGCTATATGGATATAAAAATATGGATATTTAGTGTGAGATAAGTAGTGATTAAGCTATTTCTTATCAAGCTCAAAAAGTCAAGAATCACTCCTCCAGGAATTCAAGCTGTTGAAGGAAGTGAGTCCTTTAAAGTGGTGTGTTTGGTTGTCTTTTTTTTTTTTTTTTTAACATCCCACACTTTTAAACTAAAATGTGCTGGGGAAACAGTGCTTTAAATAATTGGAAGTGGATTTTAGGATCTATAAGACCAGATGCAGTTTAAAAGAAAGCTCTGAAAATTAAATGAAGGAAAAAATTAAAATATTGTTAAAAAAAGGTTCTGAAATTTCCTCAGAATAGTACAAGCATAAAGATAAAGAAATACCAGTCATTTAAATAACTGCAGGCTGTTGTGTGGAAAAGTCATTGTGGTTTAAAACAGGATATGAATTTAAAGTCCTAGGTTCTACCTCTGTGAAGACATTTACTCTACTACAAGCTTAAATATGCAAATACATTTGGGATAAATTCCAATTAATTGAAGGCAGGAATTTGAACTGTGGGTACTCAGTTCAGAATTAAAGTGAGTTTAATGGAATTCAGTGTAATGCACTTAAAAAGTTTATGGAAATTAACTTTCTGGAATGGCCACGGTAGACAAGGTCTAGGTTATTGCACAGAGACACATTTGAATTAATTTTCACATGCAATGTTAGTGCAGAAGAGCTATTTCACCCTGAATTCACATGTTAGCTTCTTATGTGTTAATTCTTAAGTATAGACAAGCTCAAAGTTAAAGGATTTTCTACAGCTTTGTAGGGTAGAATTAAGAATTATATGATCTTTCCACCTTTAAACTGTTTGCATTATCCATGATAAATAAATAAAACACAAGTAAGTCCCTAACTAAAGAATGCATGTATGTGGCTTTTTGCCTTTGTAGGATTTAATTTAGAATTGCTATTAATTTTTTTTGACTTGAAGAACTTGGAACGTTCTGGTTCTACCCAGAGATGTGATCCATTATATCAGGATTGGTCCAGGAGAGAAATACAAAATAGACTGTAAATGAAATAATTGTTACTCGTTTCTTTGCTGTCTTTCTGGTTTTATTTGTCATTAGTTTATTTAAGTCTAAATATTACAGGGTCATCATCATGTTTCTTTTCCTTGCCTTTGATCTGAATGTTCCTTGTGACAAGGGAAGAAGACAACTGGATTATTAGAATAGTCAGGAGGTTCCCTGAACTGTCTCCTGTCTTGCTGTTGGAATTAAGCCTACTTTGCTTGTTTTGTTATTGTTTTGCTATTGCTCGTTTTCTGTCCTTTTAGAGTTCACAAGGTCAGTTATCTTTCACTGAATGAGTGTCTAAATATCCACCTTTTTCATTTTTTTTTTTGCATTTGGGGCTTTACAACCAGTGAATGTTGGAGTGCACTGAAAACTGTTACACATGGGACAATGTCTGAGGGTTGTGAGGCTTGCCATAGATTGTTGATTTTTGATGAGCTGCCTGGAGCTCAGAACATGGTCCTGTTCCTTCTGTGCACAGATGCAGAAATTAATATGTTTGTGCTGGATAAGTTGCTCTCCAGGCTTTCTGATGCTTAGTTACTAAATACTGTTTTCTAGAAGAAATAGGCTTGAGCTTTTCAATTAAATCACCTGTCTCTTGACAGGCAAGTTAATTAATTCTGTAATTTAATTTGCTTGAATTCGAGATTCTTTTGACCCAAAGAATAGCTTTAAGGCAACCAAGAGAAATCCCAGTTGTTTTTAATTTATTCAGCACTACAGAAAGCAGAAGGGCTCTGACTATGACTCTTCAGGGTCATTGAAGTTGATATTCTTTGAAAGCTGATTGTAACAATAACTCAGGTGTTACTGAACGGGCAGAAATGTAAAGTGAAACATTAAAACTCATATGTGATTGTAAGTTCTCTCATGCACTTATAAATTCCTCTCTTCCATCTCCTAAATTAAAAACACTAACTTGCTAAAAGTGTTGGGAGAGCAGTATTTGACAGGATATGTCTCTAGATTTTAACAGTCTGTCCTTATTTAAAAATACATTTTCCTCCACTGTAACAGGTCAGAAACTCAGAAGTTCGAGCAAATGCAGCGTTTTTGTTTGTTGATGCTTTTCCTCTTCGTGATCCCAATTTTAACGCCGAAGAGATGGACAATGAAATTCAGAGACAGTTTGAAGAGCTTTTTGTAAGTTTTCAGGAAACCAAAATGTTAAAAATTAAACTTTTATCAAAGCTAACTCAAAAAGAAGTTGTTGATGCAATTAAAACTTGGGGTACTTCTGGATAGTATCTGTAGGGAAGTACAGGTCTTTGTTGGAGAAAATGCAAAAATAAACTAGTATTTTAAATTTCCACAGTATGTTCATAGCAGATGACACACATCATTTGCAAACCTGAAAAGGAAACATTTGGGTTTGTTATTCATTAATCTGTGAATAGGAGATGCTTTTGAAAGACTAGACCTAAGATTGGTGAAGAGAGCAAGCTAACATGGAAACATTCAATGAACCTTGAGTACTGTATTTCTAAATGCCTCTGAAATTAAGTATAATAGAGATAAGAACCTAAAAAATGCCTTAGCAGTTTAGATGGGTGAGAATGGGCATAGTATTTTCATTAAGAAAATATTTTAGGAATCCTGAGTAAACGTCAGATAGTTGAATGGATTTCAAAGTTTGTATGTTGCTGCATAGCAGCAGTGATCAGTGGAAACTCATATTAGTTAAAGTGTAAGTACTCTTAATTAAATCACAAATATGATTTAATATGATATATTAATATTACTAATAATATTACAACTCCTTTATTGTCTGACAATTTGCATGATGATCAAAAGGTAATGGATGGAATGTTTTTTGTTCGTGATAGGTTGATATCAAACAGCAGTACAGTCACAATAATGCATAAACTCACATTATTCTCCTGTTTGTTTTAGAGACTCTTGGATGATCCTCATCCCGTTGTCCGCTCCACAGGGATACTGGGAGTTACTCAGATAACATCCAGATACTGGGAGATGATTCCTTCAGTAATTGTTGCTGATCTTTTAAAGAAGATAACTGGGGAGCTGGCGTATGATGTGTCATCTGCTGATGTTCGATGCTCTGTTTTTAAGGTAAAGGACTTTTCTACATTAAAAATAATTTTGGTCTTTTTTTATTTTATTTGATGCGCAGGTTTCTGGTATCATTTAAGTCAAGGAAATAACTTGTCCTGCAAAATAACTTGGGCAATAAAATTCTTAAAAGATGGAAGTTTTACATGCTTTATAAAAGCCACGCATTTGGAATACGCAAATGCCTTTTAAAATAGCAATTGATGGGCTTTCTGACTCTCAGCTGCTTTGCATTTCCAATCTTGCACATGTTGTTTGGACCTGATAATTCGGTTATTTTAGCTTTTAGAAATGATGCTTAGACTTGACATCATCTGGAGGCAGGTTCTAGGATGTTTCCATGTCACTGGTCTTAGCATGTCCCAAGACGTGCACAATTAGGATTTTGTACCCCACTTTGTGTTTCTGAGCTTTGGATGGATGTAATTCCACACTGTTTCTCTGGTAATGCCTTCAGTATATTAGAAATAGTTCATCTATATCTTTCTGACATATGATAAATAACTGATAGCTTGGACAGGAAAATGAACTCCCTGAGCAGTATTTTTACTTGAAGATTTTGTGTCCGTATCAGTTCAGCTTTAAATTGGAGCACTCTTCATGCCAACCCTCACTTGCTCCTCTGCAGCTGCATGGGGGCTATCCTGGACAAGCAGAAAGTGCTAATTTAGAAACAAATTGAAAAAAAGTATGTATTTTTAATTTGAAATCAGCAGAGTTTAGGGAGCTGGTATTGCTACCACAACAAACACTTGATAGTGTGCTCTCAGGTAGAAGGCAAAACAGTGGCTCCAGTGAAGATCAGAAGCTCCTTCAGCTGAAATGAGTTCACTGAACAGTTCACTGGAAACTTGAAATAACCAAAGCAATTTTTGCTGAAGAATATTATGAGAAAAATATGCAAGTGCACTGTCTGTTCCCTGCTTCATTTAACCTTAGGAGGGTCATGGTTCAGTTCAACAATTTTTGCCTAGATGTTTTTTCAAACCTACTCTTTCTGGGTTTGTTTTTGGGTTTTTTTATTTTTTAGTGCCTACCAATAATTTTGGACAACAACCTAAGCCATCCATTACTGGAACACCTCCTGCCAGTGACCAAATACAGCCTTCGGGACAACTCGGAGAAAGTGCGAGTGGCTTTTGTCGACATGCTGCTGAAAGTGAAGGCTACCAAGGCTGCTAAGGTGGGATATGTGATGCTTGATAAGTAGCAAGGAGATAAAATCGAAGCATTTATTTAAAATAAAAAAGAAGTACATTTTGAGACTACTGCAGTATTTCTAAAGGGAAAGAAATACGTGCCTTGCTGTAGTAATACTCTTAATGCTGGTGGTATCCTGAGTGCTCCCAACCTGTGTGTTGGGAGATGGATGGCTTGGTTTACTCAATCAGCAGAAACAAAAGATCACAGAACCTGTTCTGAAAGTGTTGGACCCTGAAATCCTAATCATGATTTCTGTGGTATTCTTGTGTTATTATTTATTATTTTAAAAGTGCTCAACAAGCATAATCCCCTAACATCTTATAATCTTCTTGTGGGTTTTTCAGTATTCATTTCTTTGTCTGTAAGCTCACAGGTACTCAGCATTTCTTCTGATGCTGGATTTTAACTCTTCATAAGATATGATATAGCAGTGTGATTTGGTTGAAAGACTGGCACCTGCAGTCATGACTCCATCCCTTAGTATCAGTTATCTGTATAGTAAAATATAGTCGAGCATTTTTTCACTTGTATTGAATATCAGTAATGCTTTATATTGGTTATTTAATGTTGTTACTTTGTGTATACAGTTTCTGAAAAAACAAAGTATTCACACTGCTGTTAAATGTATTAAAAAATTCTTGGTTTAAAGTTATTTGTCATTCAGTATGGAAGTTCAAACAAATTATCTTCTTGGCTTCTCTGAATTATTCTGAATTTGCTGCTATTCAGGGATTTTTTCAAGGAAGGAAGGATCTTTACATAAAGGAAAAAAATCATCATGTTAGATATTTTTCAGTAATTTCCAATTTATTTAAAAACTGTAATATGTATCTCTGGTAAGTCCTGGGTTCACTTTAATATTTATTACAAGGACCTTCTTCTTATGACAGTTCTAGTAGGGATGCCCATAGTTTGAACTCACAGGGTAATTAGCTGCTGCAAGTATTTCTACTCAAGAAGAAAATATTTTTTTTCAGTGCCAAGAAACTTTTCTTTTTTGTTTTTCTTTTATTTTAATCTGAAACACACAGAATAATTAATTCAGGATCTTTAAAAAAAAAATTACAGATGTGAGTAGTGTTACTGGTGGCATAACAAACTGTGTATTTTGAGATTTCACAGCCTTTGATTTCTGTGTACAAATAAACAAGAGCTCTGCTAAGCATGGGATGCACTTGTGGTTTGGGATGGATTTGGAAAGGGTGGTGCTCTATACAGGATTTTAGGGTGTATACAATCCTGATAGGTAGTTTGGTCCTGTGATGTGAATATGTAACATGGCACACAATGACAAATAATTGTATCTTGTGTTGATATCTTTGTGGAGTAAATAATTCTTTCCTGTACCTATGGAACTGCATTAGCATTGCAGCTGTACTGAGCTGGAATTGCCTGACCCAGAATTTTGTCAGTATGTCAGAGACAGCAGGAGATCTGGAGGTGCATCAGAACAGCAAATCAGCGTTGCTGCAGCAGAGTGTGACCCCAGTACATGCTGGTGGTTGATAAAAATAAAAACTGCTCATGCTTTCCTGGTAAATGCTGCTCATATTTGTTGAGACTATTGACGTGGAAAAGACTTAATGAAGGGGATTGTTTTTTCCTCTGTCTTTTTTAACTCCTTTGATATCTTTCTCTCCTTCAAAAAGTTCTGGAATATCTGTCCCATGGAGGATATTCTGGCTCGTCTTGAGGTGGATTCACGACCCGTGTCCCGGCGCATCGTGAACCTCCTGTTCAACTCCTTCTTCCCCGTTAACCAGCCCGAGGATGTGTGGTGTGAGCGCTGTGTCACTCTGATCCAGATGAATCCAGCAGCAGCCAGAAAGTTCTATCAGTATGCTTATGAATATACTTCCCCCACCAATATAGGTAAAGTACAAAACCTTATGAGCTTTCAAAGCTGTTCATTTCTGCTCTTAGGTGCAGTACTGTACACTCCAGCCAGGTCCCTGTGTTCCCCATTCTCCTCACACCTAGCTTAAAACTATCTCAGTTGATACCTAGAAATAATGTAACAAAATGCCCCAGTGCCCTGAGTGATTTGAGATCTTCAGGTGAAAGATCCTGTAGAAGCTGAAAAATAGTTACGTCTGGTAATCCGAATATCTGGGACTTTTGTGGATCAGAATTTTCAAGTTGCTCGGAGAAAATCTGAAAAGCCCTCCTTTCTATTGAAAGCTCCAGGAAGTTTCAGGGAGAAGGGCATGCACTGCACAGAATGTTACTGCTTTTCAGAAAAGTGCTGTTGAACCGAGTAAAATTGGGAAAATGCTGTTTCAGAGGAGTTCTGATAAAAACCAAGTAGTCAGCATGGAGTGACTGGGTGAAATGCCCAAGCTGTGTCTTCTTAACTGATTACCTTGGTAGGGGAGTTAGGAATCACATGATTATGAAATCAGCTGGTTGTACTTTCACCAGAGTGGGCATAACCCTTTCGCTATATCTGGACCTGAGCTCCTGCTTCAGGAGGGCAATGGTTGGGCTGCTACATCTCTTCCAAATAGTGGGAATTGCCATAGGATGGGATGTGGTCTCAAATGGAGGGCATTACATTAACAGCTACGCCAGATCAGTGGTAGGAGTTGTGGGAGCTTCCTCTGGTCCAGATTTGCTAAGATGGTGGTTGGTTTGGGGGTTTTTCTTAGTATATTTTTTAACCAGTAAAATTATAGAACCTGATGATAATGTTGCCATTTTTTGTTCCTACTTGAGCATATAAAACATGTTCACATTTTTCCATTTCTTTCACAAGGAATTTTTCTCCTTTTTTTCCCCACTTATTTTTGGTTCTGCTGCCTGCTTTTTAATACTGGCTTTCCAGCTTTATAATTAGAAGCAATTATTAGCAGCACTGTTAAAAATAGTAAATTTCTAATTTATTCTTACTCTATTTAAAATGTAGCTAAACTGATGCTCACTATTCGGCGCTGCTTGAATGCCTGCATCCAGAAAGCAAGGAAGTGTGACAGTGGTGAGGATGATGATGATGAAAGTGAGAAGGAGAACACAAGTGTAAGAAAATCCACTTTAATCTAAGTTCTAGTAACTTTTTTTTTCTGTGGTGCTTCATCTGAGACACAGGCAGTTAATGATATGACAGAAATCTGAGGGAAAGCCATCTGTGCAATTAGAAGGGCAGAACTACCATTATCATGTTTTTATGTCCTGCAATAGCAGAAATTTGGTGAAGTAGGTAGGATAAAACAGAAGAAATATGAACCACCCTAATTCCAGTACTAATTATGAATTGATTTGATTTTGTAATTTTTAACCCAATAATGGTTATTACAATTTCTTGCAAGAACCATTGCAAGATATGTGAAGTTAGAGAGAGGGAGTAAGACTAAATTGGGGAGTTCATGCTCTACAGCAACCACAATGCCTTTGTAAAGTGAAATGAAGGATTTTCAGGGCTTTTTTAAAACCTTATTTTAATTTAAATTTATATTTAAGAATATAATAGGTAATATAGGTAATATCATCTAAGTGTTTGTATTTCAGGTGTTGGATAATGTGTTGTCCCTAAATGATGTGGCCAGCATGGCAAGTTTGTTGGAGGTTATTGTAATTCTCTGGAGAAGTATCTACAAAGCACTCAATCACAATGAAGAGGTCAAAGATTATGCTATCACGAAATTTGCTTCTGTACTTCCGGAATATTTTAAAGTATTTAAGGTAAAGAAAGACCAGGTTTCTTGCATTTTCTTAGTATTTTCTTCAGATGCTTTCATGTTTTATATCTTTTATCTACTTTTATAGGATGAAATTTTCTTTTTCATTGTTGCTATAAACCATAAACAATAGCAAGTTTCTTGGAATTCTACAAATGAGTAGAAGGTATTCTCCAAATGCAGTGTCTGACTGATGAACCGTTATCTAAATAGTCAGCTCAGAAATACCTATGCAATAAATTGCTCTCCCTGTAAGGTTTTCTTAGATTCTGTTATTTTGAATGTTTTTAGAACTTTTGGAAAACAGTAAATGAAAATGTGTGAGAGCCCTGGGGGCTCAGCACAGGAATGAGATCCGCCTGTTGGAGAGAGTCCAGAGGAGGCCACCAAGATGGTCAGAGGGATGGAGCACCTCTCCTAGGAGGAAAGGCTGAGAGAATTGGGATTGTTCAACATGGAGAGGAGAAGGGTTTGGGGTGATCTAATTGTGGCCTTCCAGTACCTGAAGGGAACCTGCAAGAAAGATGGAGATGTACAACAGAACGTAGTGACAGGACAAGAGAGAATGGCCTTAAACTGATGGAGAATAGGTTTAGATGAAATATTGGAATGAATTTTTTACTGTGAGGATGGAGAGATGTTTGCACAGCTTGCCCGGAGAACTTGTGGCTGCCCCATCCCTGGAAGTGTTCAAGGCCAGGCTGGATGGAGCTTTTGAGCAATGTTGTGAAGGGGGGAGGTGTCTCTGCCCATGGCCAGGGGTTTGGAATTAGTTGATCTTTAAGGTCCCTTCCAACCCAAATCATTCTATAATTCTGGCGTTTCTGCCAATTTGAATCTACTCTAATAAGCTGTTGATGCATTTATTTATTGTTTGCCTTTGACATAGGCAATTATTTAAAATCAGTCGTTTTCAACTTTTCAGTCTCCTTGCTCTATATAACTGTTTCAGTGTTATTCTTGAGGAGGATGCTGTCTTTTGAGAGTGGCTAATGGTGTCTGCTGCACCTGGAGTGCATTTGGAAGGATTACCTGCTGGATGTCTGTTTTTTAGTTGGTGGCTTTTGTGCTGAATATATTGAGTGATGTTGGCTGTTATACTTCAACTTTGCATTAGATAATCAGGGAGTGAAAAGCAGTTTATTGCTGCATAATATTCTGCAGCATAGATACAACAAGTGTTTTTTTAAAAATATGAGCTTTGAAAAAGTTTTAGAACTTGGAATGTATAAGTAGGTAATAATTTCATTTGACTGTTTTCATGAAGCTTGGACATACAGGTACACAATTTTTGAAGAGTCTTTAACATAGATTGGTTTCTGTATAAGCTGAGTGAGATTATGTCAGGGCCTAGACCATGTGTTATGGCGTTGTAATGAATAATAGTGCATTTACCATTACCATTGTTGTATAAACACTCTTTCCTTTAGAGTATTTTAATAAATTTGCCATGTGAATGAATATTCATTTAAGGCACTGGTTCCTTGAGAGGAGTTAGGTGGTGTTGTGGTTGTGCAGTTAAACTTTAGTCACTGCTGGAAAAAAAAGTAAGGTTATCGCAGTGGTTATTAAACTACCAGACCCATAATTATTCATGGTAGTTATTCTGGCAGTTTTTCAAAAATACCTCAATATAATTGATAATTGACCTGAGAATAGGACTCACACCTTTTGATTGCAAGCCACATATTGTTACGAGCTTCTTTCAGTTCCTTTTATAATGAAAAAAAGGGAAATCCTTAATTTGAGCAAATGTAATCATAGTTTTTCAGCACTCTCTTTATTTTTGTGTGCATGTGTGTACCTGGACATGTACATCATACAGTGTCCTTTTTTTTCTCCTAGGATGAGCGTTGCATGGCTCCATTGGTTATTCTGGCATCCTTTATGCCCATTGCTGCTGTTCCTACATTCAGGTACTGTTTTGAAGTACAAATTATGAGTTATACTAAATTTCTTGTTGACTATATTTGCTAATGTTTCACAGCCTGATGTATTAAGTGCCCATTTGGATAAATTAATCCACTAAAAAAAGTTATTTAGTTATTAAAGTTATTTAGTTATTAAAGTTTGTGCTGTGCAAGTACCAGTCTGAGCCACTGGTGAATATTTTTTTTCTTTTTTTTATATTACACTAATTGATTTTCTTTGGATTTCTCTGCACTTATGGATGTAAAGCCAATGCATCTCTTTTTTGTTTGTTTTCTTTTAAGCTGTGGTGTGATTTCCAGACTCAGAAATATTGACTGTGGAGCTGACCAAAGCAAATATTCTACCCTGATCGACTGCATGTGTCGCTGGGGTCAAGTGGGGCACATTATGGAATTAGCCTGTGATTGGTTGTCTGACACACTGACCCCAAGACTGGTATGCATATGCATGTGTCAAAGAATTCAGGAATTACCAGATTACATAAAGGCATCTATTTTTAATAGAATAAGTCATTATAAATGTTACTCTGCTTTGAAATTTGTAGTAAAGTACTAAATTTGATAAATAAATAAATAAACATAAAATACTAACAACTGTTTGTTATAGAAATACTGACAATATTGCACCAGTTTTGTGCTTCGTTCTTCTTTAGAATGTTAAAAGGCCTGGGCGCCGAGTGCACATCAACGTAACCCAGGAATCAAAGCCATGCCTGGCAATTGATTACATTGACTATCTGTTGACTCATCCTGTCAATCGTGACTGCCTGCTGTCTGTTCCTAAAAAGAAACTGAAGAAGCTTCTGAAAATCCTCAGTGCTGCAAAGGTAAGGCATTGTTCTCCTGGCCATAAACAGTGCTTACAAAAGAATGCTGGACATCATATATTGCCTGAGTCAAATTAAAGGCCTACAAGAATAAATAAATAACATTTGTGATCTTCTCTCCCTCTGTAAAAAAGTTTTCCTTTTGCTTTGCCTTTCAAAAAATATTCTAAACTAGAAGTATAATAGTTGAGAATTGTTTATAGATTTTAACCAGCTTGTCAGTTTGAGGTGTCTCAACACTTTTATGATCTAGTGATGGGTGTTTTTAAGGGACCTGACTTTTGGAATATATGTATGAGAAATAGTCTGAAAATCAGTTATGGCATTGCAAAGTGGAATAGTGGAAAGTAAACTTGTTGCTTTTTTGTGGGTTTGGTGATTTTTTTGTTCCTATTATTTTCTTGTGTGGGTGTTTAGTTTTTTGTTTGGTTGGTTTTTTTTTTTATTTTTTAAAGCTGTTGAGAAAAGAAACATTTAAAAGGATTTTCTGAAAATGATAAATGCAAACCTTTATATTTCAGGGGGCTCTTGTCTCAATCCTTAAAGGAACTAATGCAGATTGTGGTAGCTGGGATCAAGCAACTAGCCTGAGAGCCTTCAGCCTCTTTTGCAGGTTGAGTATTCATCTTCAGCACAAGGTATGGTTGTAGCTTTCAGAATAAGCTGGAAATTCCAAAATAACTGAAAAAAACACAATTGGTAAATCTTTTTTTTTTCTTTTTTTTTTTTTCCAGTTTTGTGAGGAAGGAGATTGCCTCTCACTTTTGAAGGAGTCAGGTGCTTGGATAGCAGATCAAGTTGTACCTTTTATTCAATCAAGTGATCAAGAGGATGGTATTTCAAAACACAGTAATGTTTCTGAATTAATTATCCAGGTTAGAGGATTCTTATAACATAAATCAAATGGCTGCCAATCTGAAAAGCCACAAGTGTAGCAATTCATGTGCTGACAGACAGGGCACTGGCATTTGTGGAGCCCAGCAAGTGAAAGAGCTAATGAAACACAGTCCTGTTTGTTCTGAGGCTGCAGTTTTGTGCTTTTGCTATTTCGTTTGTGCTTAAATCACACACTTTTTTTTTTCTTTCAATCACTTCAAGTTATAACCTTTATATTTTCCAAATATATAATTTAGCATATCTTAGCAGTTAAATCAGGTAGTGTCAGCAATACCTTGTTCTTACCTAGATGTTTTTTCATCTCCCAGTGCATAATATATATTCTCATCATATCTGTTGAAGTGAGGATGGAACAAGTTTGATGTTTTACACTTGTGTAAATGGCCACTCAAGAAATTTGTAGCATATCATGTGGTTTAACCTGAATGTCCCAAATTTTACATTTCTAATAAGTAATTCTCGTCTTCAGTCTCTCATGCCCCTCAAAGGTCTTTTCCAAACTAACCTATTCTATGTTTGCTTCCTTGCTTTCCTCCTTCCTTTCTTTCCTTTCTACTTCCCCAATTAAAATAATTAAAATTATAAACTGAGGAATTTAGTATGCTTCATTCTAGTGCTTTTAAAAGTTTGGAGGCACAGAACTCAACCTTACAGGAAGACAAGAAAAAAACAGGGAATCTTTATCAACATTGCCAGAATGTTAATGATCAATTTCCAGGGTTTGAATAAAAAATGAAAACAAAACTTTATTAAGAAGCAATCAGATAGGCTGATGGTCACCTGTAGACCCATCTGACATATTGCTTGGCTAGCCAACAATGAAACACAACGATCTTTACTAGTGGATCTTAAAGTTTGTTTGCATCACTATTTCCAGAGGAGAGACTGAGTTGTAAGGACTGATGTGACTTGTCTGGAAGTCAAGAAGGGAATCCAGGCCTCTTGCCTCTCCTGTAATAAGCCACGTGCCTGTTAAGCAGCTCCTATTTACTTCTCAGCTCGTATACTGGTTTTTATTGGAATGAGATATTGATTGTGCTTTTTAATTGTTTGAAGTGTATACTTAGTAGCAATGCTGGCATTAAAAGCAGACTTTGTTTTGCTCAGAAAATCCATATAACATACAATAATTGCAGTTCCTTCTTTAATACTGTTGTGTATGTGAGAGGACCAGAGTGACACTTCTTTTTGCACTTGCATTTCTCTCTCACTTTCACTGTGAGGTATCCCATTCTTTCCCATTTCACCCTCCTGATCTAATCGGTTTGTGACTCAGTTTAGCACTTGGTGCTCTGGGCAGGGATTCACTGAGGGGCTGTTTTCTTTAGGCCACTGATTTGCTGATGTGTTGACTGTGGGGCTGATGGAACCTCTGACACAAACCCCAGTGTCATCACTTACATCCCTTACCCCTGAGCTTCATTTGCCCCTCACAGAAAGCATTTGATGATATAATATGGGGGGCTTAGCTGGCTTTCTGTTGTTTTTTGTTACATTCCTCCCACATACCACTTTATCTGTAGGGAAAAGTTCTTTTCCTGTTCTGGTTTTTGCTGTCCAGGACAGGTAGAGGTGTCATATTCTGCCTCAGTAAATGTTAATATCAATGTCTCTGATTTGGGCTTGAGTAAAAAACTGTTTACTGGAGGAAAGGGCAGTGGAAACACTTGGAGAACTGGCTGGAATTCCTGCTTTTCAACAGTGGGAAACTGAGTAACTCCAAGCAGATAAATCAGCTTTCAGGGAAACTTGGCTAAGAGTTTGTGTTTTTATTATTTTTAGGTTGTACTGAATGGTTACTTTATATAGATTTTGAGTTTCATAT